ATTATTTTTTATTTTTTCTACTCTTGTACTTATTAATTAGTTATTGCATAAATATGTATCTACGTGGTTATATAAAATTAATTGTTTACGCCCGCTGTCTAAATTATAAAGTATAATGTTGTGCTCACATAGTTGCGGATTTCAAACTTATTTATTYATTATTTTACTTATAAAATGTAAGGCATTGGTAGGACTAACCATTATATGATTGATTCCCAATACATTTTGAACCWACATAAATAACGCACATAGATTACTTAAATATAATATTAATGTTTTTAYTGTACCTGTAGGTACTACGTGTTGTATAGTAAATTAAAAACTACAATGTATTTTAATTCTTATATTTGTGTTGATCAAATATGATAATTGGCAATTATTATTGACGAACAATATACTCTTTCATTACTATTTATTTGCTTAAATTGTTTTAACATTGTTTCCTCTAGGAAGTATTGTTAAATAGTTTAATTGATATATAGTTTATTTATAGTGTATTAGGTATATTACTTATGTTATTGGTAATAGATAATAGTTTAAGTCTGAGTGATGAAAAATGAAGATTACTGATACACAATACTGACAGTATTTGATTGATAATATTTAATATAAAATATGCGTTTGAATACATTACAAAATATGAATTCATTATTTAAAGTTATAATTAATGCAAYGCAATTGAGAGAGAGGTTTATGTATTTATATGTGTATGTATACGTATAGGTATAGGTAATAACGCCGATCACTGATAATATTATTTTTGACATATTAACACGATTAACACGCACACTAATTAATACATGATGTATGGATATTATGAACAAGTTGGTCAATACGCAATGGTTATGTTATAGCATATAAAAGTAATATAATATTATTATGTGAAGTAATTCATACGAGAATTATATAAAACTGAAATGTATCGCACATGCAGGTAAAAACATAAAGTTCACGAGTTGTTCATTGGAGTGGTGTATTACAAGACTATATTCGCAAATTGAGAGAGATATACCTAATGTTATTTAAGTGTAGTAAAAACTAAAAACATAAATTAAGAGTGTAAGACAGCACCTATATAAAGAGTTATTAAATTATGTTCACATTGAATAATAAATTCATCCAAATTATTTATTTCATGTTATTTTCATTTCAATGTGTAAAACAGGACACATTCTGTACTACATCAATGAAAATAGTTATATTATAATAAATATCCCGATAGCTGTAAATGAAAACTAAATGATCCGTACAAAAGTATATGAACAACAAAATAAAGCTTATAAATAAATCTCTTTCGTGAAACTTTGAACACCGAAACCTTTGAACCCTTTGTCGTTCGAGTTGAGTAAGCCAATGGAATAGGTATAAGTACCTAGACAAATTTCCTCGTCAGTCATCCTGCTTTTAAGGGATTAACATCCAATTCATGATATTTTCTAGTATAGACTTACAATTTTTTTTCTTTTTTTTGAACCTTCAGCAATAGCAACTTACAAATATTCCACGTATTCTAAATGATAAAATATTGATATGTTTTATTCTATTTTAAAATAAGATWTTTTTTTTTAAAACATTATAAATGTGAATAACTTAACGTTAATTAATCAAATTACCCATGTAATTATACATGTTTTAAATGGACAACTTACCACCAGCAAACATTAGTTTACGTACTTATTTATACCAATGGATAACAATTCGCTTAATTGAATAACATTTGTAATTTCTTAAAGACATTTAATGTAAACATATTTCATCTAAAAAAATATGTATTTCAGAATATTTCTTTATATTCTATAGTATTACGAAATGTAAATATTTATAATGTGCATTTATACATTATCTTCCATGTTTGTGCCAGTCTCCAGAYWCATCGAACAAGTTCCTATATATTTACATCTAACCCACCACATGCCTAAAGTTTAAAATTAGTATATGGGAGTTTAAGTTTTAAAGTATTATTTAATAATATCTAAGAATTGTCTCTTAAAGTTTCAAGGAATTCAAAAACTATTGATATATTTTTTGTATCTTGAACCTAGGTAAACCAAAAAATACCATGTGAACTATACATTAGTACCTATGTCAAAATAACATTAGTAACTGTGTCAAAATATAAATAAATAAAAGAATATATATCACAGGAACAAAAAAGTGGAACTTTTCGTTTGTACAATAATATTCAAAGCGTAACAAAAATAACAGACTAGTGTAATTAACTTACAGTCAAATAGCTGTTGTCGTTATTAATATTAAAATGTTTTTTTATGAAATATAAATAATTTACAAAATTATGATAGTTAAATAAAACAAAATTTATTAGAATAGCATTTATTAAATACCTAGTTAATAAAATAATAACTATTACATCTGTCAGTTGTTTTTGTTACACTTAGAAATCTGTATACAATTTGCTATTAATTAATAATAACATAATAAGATAGGTAGTTATGTGATAATTATTGTCTGTAAAACAAACAAGAATATAGTAATAATATAGTATACATATTTAAAATATAGAACGTATTATACAACATATGATTTTAAAAAGTTGATTGATTATTTTTAATGATACATAATAAAGTTATTCTGTATGGTCGTATGAAGCCATAGGTAATATTATAAATTTTCAAGATGACTAAACATTCATCCAAGCTGTCGATCTTTTAAAATAATTACATAATTATTAGCATAGGTACATTTTAACAGAMTCTCATCATTTATGCATTTGGAATAAGAAAATATAAAAAGTTACACATAAGGTCGATGGAATTTCAACCTACTGAATTGGGTGTGTTTGCATGTATGCATTTTTGTTCATTTTGCGTAAGAATGTTGCGCGGCATATACTTAAATATTGCCTCGAAGTGATCTTCTATGCATACCTATATATATATATTGATTTAAACTTGCATATATAAATGATCTATTTGCGTTTATTAACCTATTTCTATTACGTAAAATTGTTTTAATTTACATTTAATTCTGTCTCTATCTTTAAAATCCGACCTCACCGTGACGATATACCTATTCTGTCGAATCGATCAGAATCACAGACGTTAACACATACTATTTATACCATATTATATAATGTTATGTTGATATTTAATTAAAAGATCTACACATTATTATTATCATCATCACTTCAATGCGTCATTGTCCAAAGTAGATATGAATAACGACATATATTTATGTTGTAAATTTTAATGCATTAGTTGAGATGATACGTCTGTGGATTCGGAGCTCTCATTATAATTTATTTATAAATAACTTTATATTTATAACTTTCATTATAATTATACATTCGCATGTAATTGTTTTTTTTTCATTCGATYCGAACGCAATTATTATACAATATAGGTATAATAATATACGAATATGCGCGTATATGGTGCACGCGTATCATATGGAGTGGTTTTAGGCTATTACCACAGCATGTCTAGAGAGCCGGTCGTCTATCCATAACCGTAACCTTTCTAAAACAAATGGCTGTCACACAATGACGACAGATTTCGTAAACTTTATTGTTTCGGTTTTCTTTCCCGACCGCCTACGCTGATGGGTACACCTCTATATAATGTAATTATTACCATTATTTTATTATACGCGTATGTGTATCACGACGGGTGGCCGTTGCACGTGGTATGTTTCTCCGACCGGCCGATGCAAATCGTCAATAACTCTGCATGACGACGTGTGTATTAAAAGAAAACTCACATTGCAATATTAGATCGCAGTGGAGAAAAAAAAAATGCTAAACGGTTTATTTTTCTATAATATTTATTGGAGTAGGAAAAAAAAAACAGAAGTAACAAATAAATAGTTTGTAAACCATAAAAAATAAAATTAGGAAGACTTATACAACAAATAAATGATAATAATAATAATAATAATAATTTTTTTGTTACTAGTTCGTAAAACAGTTGTATCTACGTGCAGTACAAAACGGCGTAGCAACGATAGCACGTCACGATGTTCAATGTTCATTCTATATTACACAGTCGTAAATGTCATTAATATTATCATTACTTTTCGATGTTTGCCATTTGTTTTAGGCGACGCCTAACACAGTTATAGGGGAACAGTCATGGTGAGGGACTCGTTAGTAGGCAGGGCTCGGGTAAGCTGGGGCYGCTGGGTAAGCGGGGGCCTTGTAAGCTGGAGCGGCGGAGCCGTACGATGGAGTGCCTTCCTTCTTGACGACAGCGTTGAAACCGTATTCGTCAGCGGTGTATTCGACAATCCTTTTGGTTCCGTCTGCCTCGATAAGGCTGTAGTAACCTTTCACGTTCTTGCCGTCACTGTACTCGGCCTGACTTTTGACATCGCCAGTTTGGTAGTCGTTGACAGAGTAGTCAAAGCTGTATGGCTTAGCCGGGTACTCGGGTTCTTGCGATTTGTACGGTGCTGGTGCGGAGTAAGACGGTGCGGAGTAAGACGGTGCTGAGTAAGAAGGTGCTGAGTAAGACGGTGCGGAGTAAGACGGTGCGGAGTAAGACGGTGCGGAGTAAGAAGGTGCGGAGTAAGAGGGCGCTGAGTAAGAGTGCGCCGAGTAAGACGGAGCAGAGTAAGACGGTGCTGGTTTGTACGCTGGGGCTGGCTTGTATGCCGGGGCTGGCTTGTAGGCTGGGGCTGGGCTGTACGACGGAGCTGGACTGTACGATGGAGCTGGTTTGTAGGCCGGAGCTGAGCTGTACGACGGAGTTGGCGAGTATGTCGGAGCTGGCGAGTATGATGGAGAAGACGGACTCGACGGCGATGGGTACGATGGTACGGAGATAGGAGTGACGTTGGCGACCGACAATAATAAACATGCTGAAACTGCAAAAATCTAAAACACATAAATCATAAAACAATGAGTAATTTAAATTTATAAGGTTTAATTTCTTTTACTAGTCTATTCTGCAATTTCAGAATATTTCATTTTATACACATAACTATATATCTTTGTACATCGGTGTTAAGTTCAAATAAATTAYATTTAAATAATGATTAAAAAAWATAATAGTAATAAATAAATACTACGGCGGGCGTTTAAAATATAATTTCGATCAAGTCCTTAAAAATACACATTAAAAAATATTTCGTTTTGTTTACTATTATCGGTAGAAAAAGTAACTGTGTTGACAAAAGACGTAAAAAATAATCATTGAGGTCGGATCTGTCATGCATATTAAATTGTATACGCACTACGCGCACATTGTAGTCAGGTATAAACACCAATAATGAATTACCATCTTTGTCGTCATGGTCTAATCTTATGTACGTTTAATAAATATAACTATTGAACATTAATTTAAAATACATTAAAACAGTATTGTGAACACCTCTYGTTTTAGGCAACCTTAGACAAACTTAGCGAACGAGGGGTAAACACGTTGTTAGGTACACTGTTTCATTGGAAAATAAATCACGGTAGATACAAATCCATAAAATATTATTTTTCATTCCACAAAGTGTTATTAAAATGATGTTATAGCGTCTACAATATTGGAATTTTTCTGTATCTATTTGGTTTGATCATTACTAGATCGAGAGCGAAAATTCCTTTATTGGAAACCCAACGCAAACACACTACGAGATCGCGTAATATTGAGTATTTGTGTCACTTCAATTATTTCTCTGCGTACGACTGCTTGCATAATGCAGTGTCCACTTTTAAGATATTGAACATGAATTATATATTTATTTTATTTTTTTTTGAAAATGTTCTTAGTTCTTGGCTCAATTTCGTCTGATTTGTATAATATTTCCATAACTAGTTAGTACCTATTACAAGTCTTTCAGAATATGGTAATAGCCTAATAAATAACAGCTAAACCCGCCCTTATATATTAGCACCAATTATAGGTATAATATTTTATTGGAATACTTGTTAGTACCACTTCGTTTTTCAAAAATTTCGTTATTACCGTTTCCTATTAAAACACTAATTACATGACAGCATAACAGCAGAAGGCTTAAATTAAATAATCTTGGGTAATTTAATTTACTCATAACCTAAGAAAAATAATTATGTGGTTAAACATTTATAATATCTTATTCATTATATTGTTTGTTTTCTATAGAGATTTTTTTTGAAATAAATTTACTTATTCAAACATAAATAGGTTATTTAAATACTTTATGAGTTATGATAGAGTTATGACACATAGTGACTAGGTCTATGGTTCCCATCTAGCACTCATAATTATATAAAGTAAATGAAAATAATTAATTCAAACACGTGTGAGTATTATCACGACTGAATAATTTATGCTGAATAAAATTTAAAAGCAAGGAAATAAATATTCTTTATTTTTATGCAAAATAAATTACATATTACTAGGTATTTTGATTATTATGTAAAAAGTAACTTGATTTTGCAATTATTTTTTATTAGATGAAAAGGCTTCAACTACACAGGTTTTTATTATTACAACGAACATACATTTTATATTTATGTTCGTTATAATTTAAGTGTGTGGCATAATATTTTCTCGAAATGAAATAATTTTCATAAAAATAACCTTTTACTTAAAAAATAAACTAATTGGATATTTMTATCTTGTTACTTAGTTTTTATAATTGATTTTTCTGTCTATAAAGTACAGATACAAACTCAAATTCAACACGTTATGGTTGTATTATGAGTGTACATTTTGCTTTTGAATAATACAATAATCAATAGAAACTGTGAAATAAATCGAACTATACGCGTAAATAATTTTAAGATAGGTATAAAAAAAGAATAAGGTACAACACAAGTACGCAATTACATAAACAACATTAAAACAGAAACCGTTATCATTAATTGTAATCATTTAGTGATAAAAATATTATAATGTTTCCTTCTATGTTTTGTTTTAAATTTCACTTAAACTTKCATTTAAAAATCGCACAAGACTTTGTTCCTATACATAGCTGTAATATTATGTTGACACGATAAGTTTTTTTTTAGATAGAACGCATTTGGATATCTGCAGCTGACGGCGTGCATGTTATAAGAACGAGAGCATTACGTTATGTGGTGATGTGAGTTTGATCGAATTCTAAGTCGTAACGTCAATGTACCTACAGCGCCGAAGTCGTCTTTAAACCGGTCGAATTATTATTATTATGAACAATTTGTTTTTCCGCAATATATTTTTTATTCGTAATAATTACCGGGCAACTAACCATTACGCCTAATACCTAAAATAATATAATATAGATCCGTACTATTATACACCGAAATCAGAAAGTTTATATAATAGGCACTAATAAATAATAATATTGTCGTTGTATTGTGATAATGATATATTATCGCTATATGACATTACTCGTATATTATACTCACAGTGAACGCCATGGTTTGTTTGGTTTCTGTGTCCGGACCAGTTCACAGCACTTCGTCAGATGGGACAATATTACGTCGGCCACGCAGATTTCGGTTTATATAGGTTTAAAGTTGGGCACCTCACGTTTCGGATCGGGCGCGGCGTGGGGGTACCTATCTCTGTACCGTGCGCGATATACTCCACACGTCATATTATGGGTAGGTACACATAATAATATTATGTGCAACGCCGCCGCCGCCGCCGCCACCGCCACCGCCACTGCCAGTGGCGACACGCGGGCCGCAGACCGCAGCCACAGCCCTCGGGGGCTGCCAGCCAGAGGGAACGATACGAAGTCCGGGCTTTAATAACGATTGTAAATAATACATAACAGCGATAACATTATACCCATAATACGACGTGTTATATAGCTAAGAGTAGTATAGGTTATTAGGTATACCTATATAATATTATAAGTAGCATATTATATTATATTATGTTATAACATAATAGTAATAATAGCAAAGCCGATGACGTGTTGCGCATGACAGTGAGCGTGCGAAAAAAAAAATCTACCCAATATAATATCGTAGGTAACGTGGTAATTATTATTATTGTTATTCTGCGACGAAAACGTGTAGATATTATTGTATGCGCCACGCGGCTTTTGACGAAACAAATGTCAGCGCGACGGTTATTGTCGCGGCAATCGGGTCAAGACCGTTCGGGTTATGGGAACCACACAGTCGGAGAGCTTTGGGGCACCGACGATGACGACAAGTCGAGTACAACGGTATAGTATAACATAATGATATTATATCAGGTATATACCTATTGGTACTCACATTTTCCGTAATCACCTGCAGCCGCGGACCGCCTCGAGTTACCAGATTTGTTCATTTCGTACCTCGACAACGAGCCGTGGGCATTTTTTGTACAAGTCAATTTCACGACAACKTCGCRAGCACTCGTACACTACGCAGGCGTATATAGGTAATATTATGTATTATGATATTTTGATACCGAACTCGACGTCGGATAATTTTCTATTCATTCTTATTTCAAAACGATCAAATTAAATTTAAAAAAAAAAAATCTTCTTTGTTGCATATTATCCAAGAATAAGAGTGACTCATTCAATTTTATACGATTCTGACGATGCCAGACGGCCATGCTTTGTACACAAAAGTGTTCGGCGTGTAAAAAATACAGCACGAACGATCTCGATGTTATATGTTTTGCTTTTGAAAACTATCGAGAAATCTACAATAGATAAAAGCCTGCCTATATAAGCACAAACTGTTTCATAAAAATTGAAACCTACCACGTTGCAGCAATCGTAAAACCAATGATTTATTTATTGCTCTACTCAAAATTAAAAAATAAGCAAGACATGTTATATTTTGCAAGTGCATTAAGGTTCTTCCTYAATTTTTAATTGGCAATTAGATGAAAGTATTTGAAACGAGTTAAAATGTTAATTAAAAAAAAAAAAAGCATAAGAAACAATATAAATTAATGATCGCATCTTTAACTTGAGATTTTCAATTCTTTTAGAAGATAATTGAGTATTTACAAATGATAATAATAACTATTATTCTATGATAAAAATATATACAAACCTGTGTTTAGATAATTTAATAATCGCACATCTCCAGGTTTAAATTTAATAATGCATCTGTTATTTTTTAAATTTAAAGTTGCAGTRTTCACTGCCCCGGACTTCTWTGAGGTATAGGTTTATTATTCAACCATTAGTWAGTTAGTTCTCACTTTTTTTCACCATGCTCAAGACCAACTTTTATGAGCAATTTCACTAATAGATATATTATAGTTTGGATAAATCTAAATGTAATATGTTTTGGATCTGTAATAACCTTGATGATTTCAACTTTAATTGTGATGACGTATCTAAGCTTTGACGTGTACACTTAAATATTACATAGTAATAGATACAATTATAATTCAACATGCCGTAAGCAATATTTAATTTTCAGTAAAAATAATAAATGACTATAGTGTGTAGAAAGAYTTATTGTGTGATATCACTTATCCTTAAATTAAGCTTATAATAATTACAACTATAGAGTCATTATGGTTCACATTATTGACCTTAACGGACATTAATAAATATAATATTATTATTGTTACACCTTATGCTTTAGCGGAGCGTGCGCGAAACATTATACGATGCAGCTTTCCGCGGTAATAAATATTATGTCTCGTAACTTTACTGTAGATTAGGCATTTAACAGTGCTTATAATGGTGTATAAGTTATAGTATGGGTATCACTGTATCAGTTTCGTATGTACTACGTTTTACCAGTCCTTAGATCATATACTAGTAATTAGTACCTATTTAATCTTAGTACCAGGCTATGGACTATGTTGACGTACTTAGTTTTTTTAATTTTCCTGTGGTTCACGAAAAAATTGAAAAATATATAAAATATAGATATTAAAAAATACAAGCATGCATATAGTTATAACGATAAATCTTAATTTTTTTGGATGAATATTACTCTGTTTAAAATCATTATTCGTATGCGATGATTTATCATTTCAATAGTAGAGAACAAAGGCAGCCACTACTGTGGGATGTGACCCGTTCACTTCTAGAAACAAACAATTTTTTCACTAAATTTAATCACTAAAACAGAATCTATTGAGTTATATACCAAATTTATAAACTAGTAGGTGTCTACCGATATGATTTATGTATTTWAAAAAAAAAAAAAATGATATAAAAAACTTTCTAGAAATTATTGAAAACAACACTCCACCAACATTCTATAAACAACGATTTTAAAGTATAACATTTCAAATACCTAATTATTGTTTGTAACTAGATAAATTAAAATAATTTATTCAAATTATCTGTAATTTTTTTCTCAACTAGTTTAAACAGTATAATATATTAAAGTAATTTTAATACGGGTAAAATATTTTATTGACTGGTAGTATAATATCATACAACATGGGCATATTATATTAAAAATATATCTAAAAGTCGACGTATAACTACGTTAGTTTGGATCTCACCACACAGTATCCAATTAAAGTTCTAGAGAAAGAAACCCTGAATACACTTGACATTTTATTCAATTAAAACTGCTATATGCTATTCATTATGTAATAAGCTAATATTTGTATCCTTTAATTCGAGATTTAAATTCACAATTCGTATTACGYATATTATACTTATAAATTACATAGATAGCTGGTAGTTAGTTTTTATAAATATACTTATTCCTATTCTGTGTATACAACATATTCATCACAATCATTATTGAAATTAAAACAGATAATTATTGTTTATTGTGGTACTCAATATTTTTATTTCGATATTATTTTTTTTAAATTATCTATAATAATATATAAAAGCATGCCCACATAGAAATATATAATTAAATTTACAAATCGTATAAATCGAGTCTCTCATCATAATTTAATTTACCTCAACAGATAWCAGATCTGGTGTTATTTTGAAAGCAATGATAAATCATGATATACTACACAAAGATTTTGAAGCACTTTTGTCTCGGTGAAAGTGTTTTTCGGGTTCTTCTTTTTTGCAATTTGACAAAAACCTCACCAAAAGCTTCATTTTTCAGAAGAGTAGAAAGAAATAATAATAAATTTGGAAAACTACATTGTTTGAAGTATCATAKTATGTGTTCATTTTTTAATATTAGAGAAACTATATGAACATTTTGAAGCGGTTTTACTACACTCTAAATTATTTTTCAGAAAAAAAAGCAAACCTTAATATTATTCTCTTGCTCATAATACAAATTYCACTTTGTTAATAAAATATTTTTACAGTTATTAAAGTCGATGAAATCTATAAAATTACCAGTTATAACTTTCGTATGACAGWTTATCATATTATTAGTGAACTTTTGAAACTACAAAACTAGGGATGACTTACCTCCCTAATAGCTTAATTGTGTTAAATATTATTGTGTAATAATTTGTTTAGATTTTTATAATTTATAATACATTGATTTGAGATCACACTTTATCAAAAATTTCACTTGATGAACTAATAAGTTACACAAATATTGCTGTGCAATTGGTATGTTAAATATCCAGTTTACAAATGACTAGTAGGTAKTAAATACTAAACATATAATTAACATAATAATATAATATTATACCTACTACCTAGTAGGTACCTACACTTTAGTCAGGACGTTCTGAGAAGTTTATTTCATGAGCGCATTATATTTTAAATTGTAATTCAATTATCAGTTTGTACGATACTTYGATTTAATATAAAATAATAGTTGTAGTTGTATATTATAATAATATACAGTAATAACTGATATATAATTTTAGAACATACATTTATAGTGATAAACTGTATTGATATTCACTATTCAGTGTTGCTAAACAAATTTTTCATGCACTAGTTGTTTGTATCTTATAATACAACATCGTCAAACGGTAAACGTTTAAGATTTAGCATAATATGTTACTACGTGAGTAATTCTGWTGATGAACTCCAAAGTATGTTTAGAAATGTTACGTGCCTACCTAGTATACTTATCTATTATATTATTTTGTTATACAAAGATAACATGGATACTGTTAAGAAAAATTATGCAATAATTTTAGTGCCATAAAAACTTAGTAATTGCAGCTTGTAATAGTTTTTTAAAGTTATAGTTTACGATATTTCTGAACGTTGGGGTTTAAATTAATTTTTATTTATGTCTTGTTTGTAACGTACCCACTCATAAGAAGAAAAATAATAAAATGAATTTCAATTTAATTATTTTAAATTTCGTATTTTTAATTTCGATTCATTATTAATAATCACGACTTTGAGCAAACTAAGGATGAATTTTTGTTTTAAATTACTTATTTTTAATTTTTGTTTTACCCTTTACCATGTTTTTTCTTATAGACGATTCAAACCGATCAATTAAATTAATATTTTAACTTCGATCACATAACATAAATCTTGACAAAATAATTGTAATAAATTATTAATAATTGTATCTAATTTAGAAAATAATTAATTTCAATGTAATTTACCTATAAGCTTAAGTAGGTACATACATATAAGAATAACATCGGACAGTTTAGTCGTAAACCCAGTTTAAGAAGATTTCGACCATTATTGTGACTGATTTGAAATTTTGAACTTTGTTGTGTTATATTGTTTTATTTTTATAATGAAGCTATTAAAGCTCGAAACTAAAATTATTGAAAACCTAAAAGCTAAAAGCTAAAAAAAATAAGCTTAGTCATGCTACTCATTGCTAACCAACTAAGTTATGGCTCTACATCATAAACATAATTAATAATAATGTACATTTTTTTTTTATTGGCTCTTAGTATATAATTGTATAAACCAAGATTGTATTTTGAATCAAACTATTTTGTGTAAATTACACAATAAGTATCGTAGACGCTATACTAAAAGGGAAATGGTGGTGCAAAATATCGCATTATTATATATGTATATTATATAGAAATTCAAACCCAGTTTTTGCTGTCATTTGAATAACAAAGCCATAGCTCAAGAGATTTGCGGGGGCGACCAGATGAGTAGTAAAAAAAAATCCATTTCTGTTCATTATTTCATTTTTTTTTCTTGGTTTCGGTACATACAGTCAGCAAATTTTCCTTTGTAAGAATTTTCGATAGTATCTCATACAACATGAACTGTTTTAATATTATGTCAAGAGCACACTGTTTAAAAAAAAAAAAATTATTTACGAACAAACGTTCAAATATCTATACAATTTCTATAGAATTGTTTTTATTCCCTCTGAAAGTACACGATTCTTAATAATTACGCAATTAATAATTTATGCGATAAAATGTGAGTATAAATAAATAATAATGATATCAGGATCAACTTTTCTCATTAATGTGATTCCAATTGACACCGAAATTCATAAATCACATCATAATCACGTTTGRTAGAAGGAAGCGTTTAAACAAAAACGAATGTTTTTAAATTTTTAAAAAATACAATAAAAGCTAATTTGAGAAATAACATATATTTAATAAAATACAAAAATTATGATTGATTAATAATCACATAATTATTAAAAAACAAATACAAATTATAATCTTTTGTACTTTTGTTTAAATATTTAAAGGAGCATAACAGTTAAGATGCAACATTTATGATGTGGTGTTTGAAATTGAGTTGTAACATTATTTCACTTTATATCGTGGTTGATAAGTAGTGAAATAATTAGTACGACGGAGCTTCGTATTCCTGAGATTGTTTGGCTGGGGCACCGTATGAAGATTCTTGTTTGTTGTAAGCAGGTGCGTTATAAGAAGGTTGTGCACCGTATGAGGATTCTTGTTTATTGTATGAGGGTGCGCTGTAGGYAGCTGGTGCAGATTTATAAGTTTGAGAGTCCTTGTTGTACGCTGGAGCTGCTTTGTTGTAACCTTGAGCTTCTTCTTTTTTAACGTCCGCGTTAAATCCATTTTCATCTGCGGTATACTCGACAGTTCTACGGGAACCATCAGCCTCCAATAAAGTGTAGTATCCTTTTACGTGGTATCCGTCACTTTCTTCCTTTTGGCTTTTGATGTCATATGTATGTTCGTCATTCACGCTGTATTCAAATTTGTACGGTTTGGGTGCGTAAGATTCTTCAGCGTGAGCTTTTTGACTTGGGTAAGATGGGTAGGTCGATTCGGATTGATATGGTTTGGTATTGTATGACGGATTGGGAGCTGAGTATGACTGTGGCTTGGCTTCGTATGAGGGAGCTGAGTATTGTGATACTGGGTATTTGGATTGTTCATAGGATGCAGACGGAGCAGAATAAGATTGTTGCTTACCATAGGCTGGAGCAGAGTAAGAAGGAGTAGAATAAGATTGTTGCTTACCATAGGCTGGGGCAGAGTAAGAAGGAGCTGAGTAAGATTGTTGTTTACCGTAAGCTGGAGTAGAGTAAGAAGGAGCTGAGTAAGATTGGGCATTATAAGAAGGAGCGGAATATGATTGGGGCTTGCTATAAGCTTGAGGTGCTGAAGAATATGTAGAAGCAGAGTACGATGGTGCGGAGTATGATGGAGCAGAGTTTGATGGTGCTGAGTATGACGGGGCTGGAGCAGAGTATGATGGTGCTGAGTATGACGGGGCTGAGTACGACGAAGGAGAAGAGTAAGCTTGTGGCTTGCCATAAGCTGGAGAAGAATATGAAGGAGCAGAGTAAGAAGGTGCGGAATACGATGGAGCTGAGTATGAAGAAGGAGAAGAGTATGATTGTGGAGCAGTATAAGATTGAGGCTTGGGGCCATATGACGAAGCTGAGTATGAAGAAGGAGAAGAGTATGATGGTGGAGCAGAATAAGATTGAGGCTTGGGACCATACGATGGAGAAGAATGTTCTTTCTGTTCATATCCAGACGAATATGAAGGTGAGCAATCTAATCCAGCAATGATGTTGGCTTGAATGGCCAAACAGGCTAAGATTAAGGCCTGTAAAAATTAAAAATCKAATAAATCTAATGCTTTTGTATTATGATTTATAATTATAATTCATAATCTACTATAATACTAGTATTATCCCCTAAACAATTTTAATTTTTAAGGCCTGTTTTTTTTTTCAAACAATATAGGCAAATATATTATAATATAAAGCCAATATATTATTTTAAAAAACATTCAAGTAGAAAATAGAATATTAACAAAATACAAAATTTAAAACGTTAATATGGTTCAAATCTAACAATAACCACAAATATCATACATAATATATTATATGTTTTATTTAATGACATTTTATGTCAAACCTATACATTATCTATATATTTTTATAAACCATAGTTATATAATATTGCATTTCTAGATATAATATTAATCACTACATTGAAGTTATGCAACGAAAATGATTTAATAACGTGTTGTGTCAATGAAAAAAATATAAATTAGTGGTTTTGCCGTTTTCGATATTAAACTACAAAACACATGACTGAGTATTGATTCAATTAAAGATAATTTCTAAAAAAACTTCAAATAAAAAAAATTGATTTAAACWGGAGATGAGACAAYATTAAGTGTATAAAATATAAATATATCATTCATAACTATTTCATTTAATTGTATTCTCCCTTCTGTTAAAAAAAAAAAAAAATGCCAATATTAAATTTAGGTTAAAACTAAGACTGGTTATTGTTATCAAACGCAACGAAAATTTAAAACTTTAAAATGTTAGCAATACGTTAAAAAATTTAATAGTTTTCAAGTTCCTGGGTATTTACAATACTACATTGTATCAATAGATATATATTATCAATGGAACATAATATTAGCCACCTTATTAAGGCAAAACGTATTTGATAAAAACGAAAGCGCACACCAACACTCTATGACAGATGTATATCAGTGGTACATGAAAACCGGTTCGGAGTCGACTTCTATGTGTTACAGTCGGCATGGAATGAAAAGAAAAAAGCCGACTGTCAATAMGATATGTATATAGGATACTATTATACCCATTACCTACCTACCTGCTTTGACTTCACTTACTCTGTACATTATTATACAACACTGTACAGTAACTAGCAAAATAATATCACTGGTAAATTAACAAAATAATAATAATAATTAGGAATGATTGAGGAGACTTAAGTGCAGTTCTTTTTTTTTAAGTATTTAAATGAAATATAATATAGTAACGCGTATAATATTTGAGCCAATGTTTTTGGATTATTTGAGCCGAAATCAAATCATTATTATTATCATCATTAGTCATTCATGATACGCGTTTTTTATTACATTAAATTATTTATCCAYCACGTTTTCTACCTAGACGAATTAAGTATAGATACAGAATATTGTTTAAGTTCGAGTAAAATCATTGACGTATCCGTATATAAATATACACACTAATCTAACCGTTATATACCAACCGGTTGGTTAATACTACWAGTTTTTAATCTGTTGCAATTATTTTATATGAGCGATAAATTTATTTACGCGTCCCTACTAAAGCTGGATGAAATTATTTRTATTAGTTATTACCTAGCGTCATCAATTTATGAGTATAGGGACRGTGGGAAAAATGTCTTAGCGGTGTGTCATTTAAAAATATTGCTACTCATGTTTTGTGCACACGATCGCATTTTATTAACAGAGAAAATATGGTTTCTAAAAATTGTGACTATGAAGTATTTTTTTTTTTATATGTATAAATTTAAATATTATAAATAAAACTCTTATAGTATAATATGTACGGTTATTGTGAAAGTAAAATTTAAACCTGAAATCAATAATAATTATCGTTTTGGCCTTGTTACAGTTTTTTTTTGTTTGTGACAAATATTGTCCTCTAACTGAAGGGTTTATCATTCGGTCACGTATATTAAATACCTGCGTAAAACATAATAATATTATGTAAAAATTAAAATATATTTCATTGTTCAAAAAAAAAAAAAGTAAGGCGTGCCCTTAACATGTTTATTTTAACTTTATAAGAATATTATATTTTAATGAAAATTGATAAAAAAAATCGATTTAAAGCATTGATCGTTTGATCTTGGCACCGTTATAATATAATATATGAGTTCATATTAATTGTATTGTGTTTATAATAATAAGTATACCGATTCCTACAAAAAACTGTTCAAATTATTATTCAGATTAAACATACGAGTAAATGGATTTTATTGAATAGAATATCTTATTTATA